TGAGGTTGTGCGCAGCACACTTGCTAGTCCATTTCTCCCTATGGTTCCCTGTCAAGTGTCAGCATCTCTACTAACTCTGGCATTTAAGTGACCATGGAGCACAACCTTATATTCTTTGGGGATAGAGGTTAGCACTCTGTCGAGGTCAGCATAAAAGGCCTCCTCCATGTCATCCTCTGCATTCAGTGTTGGGGCGTATGCCCTGATGAAAAGGCATGACGTGAGTGATTCAGTGGGACTCGGAGCATCATGAGACGCCCGTTGATCCAAATAAGCATTTCAATTAGCCTGTAAAGGATGTGTTGGCGGATGGCAAAGCCAACTCCATAAATGCGGTTTCTCTCCGCAGCAGGCTTACCCTTCCAGAAGAAGGTATAGCCAGACCTCCGTTCTGTGAGTTGACCCTTGTTTGAGAGCCGGGACTCACTAATGGCTGCTATGTCGATGTTATACCTATGCAGCTCTTTTGCTACAAGGTCAGTTCTTCTTTCAGGACGCTCATTAGTGGCAGTATCCAAAAGGGTCTTGACATTCCATGCATCGACCATAAGATTTTGATTGTGTTTTCGACCTTCCTGGGTGCGGTTGCCTAGTCAGGTTGGTTTTTTAGGCAGGCTATGTTTAGGGCACCTTTTCTAGCCCCCTCCACATGTGGGGTGAGCAGAGTGACTTCTCGGAAGGGCTGCTCAGTCGCACAGACAGGACTGGATTGTACTGCTGCCTAGATCCCAGTGCATAAACAACCACCTTGTCCATGCCGCCTATGTGCAGAGTTGTGACTAGAGTCATCTCTGCCTGTCCCCGTCGCCACTCATGCGTTGCCATAGGACTTTTAGGGGTATTGGGGTTTTCATGACGATGAAAAGTTTGATGAGCTGGATTGATGGCTGCACGTGAGTTGATTTCTGTGGTGAGGCAGGTATGCAGGCTGCAACCACACATCTTGGCTCTCCCTTTTCCTGATCCAACGGTGCAAGTGTTGCAACGACCGGGGAGAGGGAGAGTCGCAATGGACTGCCGATAGCCCAGTTTGTTGGGTTTCGCCTTAGTAGCCTGTCCATCGTGCATTGCCTTCATCCACCGGTGTAGTCGTTGGGTTCCCATGTTGGTCACCTCTTCCACCTATACCGCCGTTGAGGTCTTGTTGGAACTCTGTAAAACATGTCTGCTTGATGCATTTCTCCACCCAGATTTTTCGTTTGGGGATTACTCCCGTTGCCTTATTCTTACCAAGGTTAATCCGCAAGGCAGTGGGGCGATAGTTGGTAGGCGCCAGGACATGTCCACATGCTAGTGGGCCTATGCGCCGTCCCTCTGGGGCTCACTGCTACTCCGAGATCCCCTGCTGGTCTAGCCTGGGCCCACGAGGCACCCAGTTACCATGTGTTGCCACGAGGAGGCACAACAGGAGTCTTGATGGTGAAGAAGCTGTGTACTGGCAGGGGAAGACTTATATGCAAGTTGCTTCCCTGTTCGCCACGAGGGCTAGCCAGCGGCAGTAGCTGAAAGCGAGAGGGAGCAAGCAATGCCTGCACCTTAACTCTTACATAATGCTGCCACACTCGACGCATTATACCACCCTGTGTACACACCTACACACACTGAAGTTGGGATACCACACACATGCATGCACACACACATACACTAAAGTTGGGACACACACACACACTGAAGTAGGGACACAAAACACACACCCACTGAAGTTGGGAGCCCCCCCCCCCTACGTACACACATTGAAGTTGGAACACCACACATATACATTGAAGTAGGGACACACGCACACACACACACACACACATAGAAAAATTGCAAAAGAGGGCATGCAAGATTATTCTCTCCCCTTCCTACTCCACATATCAAGAAGCGTTCAACACACTGACCCCCTCGGCTCTCTCTGATCATCACCACGACCTCATTTGCAAATTTGGTGAGAACCTTCTGCACCATCCTCGACACCGGCCCTACTACCACCCGAGATCACTCATCCGCGAATTGCTGTTCGACACAACAACTGCATCCAGTTCATATGAACACGTACTGATCGCTTAAGAACAACTCAGTCCTAACCATTGTAAAAATTATCAACAACTCATAATCAACCAGTGTATTCACTTCCAGTCAATCTTACCTTTTTACACTGTCACTATGTTGAAATGCTCTCTCGTTTAACCTTCTCCCCACCTAGTTATTATATATCATATTTGTATCACTTGTATTATTTGTTAATCAAGTGACCCATTCCCCAATTATGTAGCTATATATTTTCAACCTTCCGGCTGTCATGTTCTTTCAATAAACCGTTAATTATTATTATTATTATTACACTACTACCACTTTGCTGTCACTCGGAATCGAGTATGACGATCATCCAGCTATGATACAATGATATGCATTATGAAGAATGTCACTTTCGTTGGTGAGCTCTAAGGTGACTTGAAAGGCTGATACGGGACCGGCACAGATAGTGCACGTGTGGAGGGCTACATCTAGTGTGGGAGGGGCGGCGGCAGCGTCTTTCCGTCGTTGGCCCTTGTCTGCCTCGGTATGTAGTCGGGCTAACTCGAAAGTATTGACACTTTCTTGTGTGGTGTTCCTCAGAGCGTTAAGGTGTGAAGTAATCGTCTCCCAGGTGAGGGGGGCGATCTGGCACTTTTCAGGTTTGTCTTAAGAATATCCTTATACCTTTTCAGTTGCCCACCAGCGTTTCATTTACTATTCGTTAGGTAACTGTAAGTAGCTACTTTGTCAGTCTGCTGTCGTCCATGTGGGTAACATGGTCAGTCCAACTTAGCTCTTCATAGATAATTATGGTAGCCTCGATGCTTCTACAGTTGGTGTCAGCGAGAATACTTGTATTTGTTCTCTTGTCTTCCCAGCGAACGTAGACTACGTTGGTGAAAGTTTTCAAGTGCCTTGAGGTGCCTCCTGTATGTGACCCATGTCTTGCTGCCATATAGTAGGGTGGGGAGGACCACTGCTCGATATACGTGCAACTTTGTAGTTAATTTCAGCTCCTTGCAGCTGAAGACATGAGATGCACTTGACATCCACATCTGATCCAATATTGAATCTCTTCATCGATGTCCAGGTGGTGGACAGGTGGGAGCCGAGATACTGAAAGTGGGTAAGATTAGAGAGGGTAGTACCATTAAGCTGGATGGTTGGTGGAGGTGTGGCTGAACCAGGGACAGGCTGAAAGAGAATCTGAGTCTTACACATATTCACCTCAAGGTCGAAGTGTGCATACACATCTGCGTAGGTGTTCAGGATTTCTTGTAGGTCGCATCCAGTGTGAGCGACAAGGGTGAGGTCGTCTGCACACTGAAATTCAGTATTGGAAGCTGCCGACACCTTTGTTCCTGCCTGGAGTCGTCTTATGTTGAAAAGACCCTTCATCCGGAACTGGATGTCCACCCCGCAGGCTAAATGGGCACTGGCACTAGTAAGGAAGGCAGCAAAGAAAATGGAAAAGTTAGTTGATGCCGGTCCACATCCTTGTTTTACCCATGTTTGGGTGGGGAAGAACTCAGACTGGATGCCATTGTACTGGACGCTGTCATTCATGCCATCGTGTAGTTGCCTCACAATGGTGATGAATTTCGGTGGACAGCCAATTCGGCTGAGGGTCTGCCAGAGGGGTTCCATGTTGATCGAGTCGAAGGCCTTGGTTAGGACGATGAAAGCCATGTACAAGTCACGACACAGTTCTCTGTACTTTAACCGGTGTCTGGTGGACAGCAAAGATCAGGTCAGTGGTGCCACATGATGGTCTAAACCCACATTGAGATTCTGGGAGGACGTTTCCTGCCTCAGAAAGAAGTCTATTTAGGAGGACTCAGGCAATAATCTTGCCAGCTATGGTCAGCAGTGAGATCCCGTGGTAGTTGCCACAGTCTGACCGGTCTCCCTTGTGCTTATAAATATTGACGATGGAGGAGTCTTTACGAGCTTGGGGGATTTCCTCCTTTTCCTACATATTCTCCAGGAAAGAGTAGAAATGGATGACACACACACACACACACACACACACTTTTCCTTCAGCCTTCATAGGATAAGGACGTGTGTAGCCAGCGCTGCCCGCTAACGCGGCCGTGGTCTTTTTACCATGGAGACAGCTGCCAGCCTGGTCTGTCGGGCCCTCCCCTTCCCCATCTCCTCCTTCCCATCTGAATTTATCAACATCCTCCCACCAACAGTACAGTGCAAAGATTGATGATCAACCCACAAGTGATATACAAAAGTGACAATTTCGACTCAAAAGAAAGAAACAAATGTTGGTGACAACTGTGCTTAGCGGTCAGTGTTGACCTGACCTTTGACGTGACACACCCAGCCCGCGGTACACTCGCCACCACCAACACTAGATGAGAACCCAAGAAACACTCCAAACTACACCAGGAGAGAAGTGAGGACTCCCTACTCCACTCAGGTGATGAACTATGAATTACTAACTACATCACATGAGGAACAAGAACCATCTCCAACACCCATGTGTGAACTGGAGGACCTACCCGGACTACGTGGTGTATCTGCAGCTGTAGTGAGGTAGCGGCTTAACAGTCAAGCTTGGCGCCGACATCAGGTCACTAGAATGTCTACAAGACCAGCTCCCACAGTACCAGATCTACAGTTAATCTATATGTTGACTATGTTTCTTATGTTTCTGTATTGGAAGCTTTTGTCAATCAAGTGACTCACTCCCCGATTCTACCATTTGTAACTTTTCATCTCTGTTCATTGTACATTTTCAGCCTTCGGGCTGCCATGTTATCTTAATAAACCGTAAATTATTATTATCATTTATTACACTCACTGAAGTAGGTACACCCCCCTCTAACTCTGAATTAAGGAAAGTTCCTTATTCACCTATTGGGACTTATTATTCACGTTAGATAATAGTCTTGGGGATGTGATTATTTCTTTAATAAAAAGCTCATGCAGGAAATTTATGTGAAGCAAAACCGTGACACCTGTTTATGTATTAATCAATCATCCAACAGCTGAGGCTTCGTCATCGCAAGCACGTCTGGTAGTGAGGGAGGGACTGCTGCTCGCGGGGTTGCATCACCAGCACCTTCTGCCTGTATTAGGAGTGTGTCTTTCTGACCCACGACACCCACTTCTCCTTTACCCTCATCTGGGACTCTCCAATCTCAAAACGTGAGTTATGACTTTGGTAACTACTCGACCCCTCTTAGTTACTCGGCATTGCCAAGTTATTTGACAAAGGTTTGTATGAAGCAGCATTAACTTTTGATATGATGTTTGCAGTTTGTATTCACTATACAGTATTGGGATTAAAACTAGCCTTGAATTAAACTTTTAAGAATACACCACTGAAAATATTTAAATTTATGCTTGAAAAAAATTGATAGGCTTCTTTCTATACCTTTCACTTTTGTCCACTAGATTATATCTTAAGTATTATATAGTAGTGTCTCCTTCCAAAATTCAGGCTGCTTTCCTAAATGAAATGGTCTCAATCTAATGTTATGAAGCCAACTGTCCAATCTCTTGAATATAAACTATTCACATGTAATATAAATGGAGATTTTAGAATGCTGGTCCTTAATTCCACAACCGATACAGTTCATTCACCAGACTCCTTTACTATATACATGGCTTGTGAAAATCAGGCTACGAGCTTATATTAATTTTCTAAGATTAACTTTTTAAGCTAAGCAGTGTCTGAGCTGTCAAAGGCAAAAATTAAACTGACGTCAAGTATTCAGAATGACGTGCTTTGTGGGCGGATTTTCGCGTGTAGATGATGAGATTCTTCTGTTATATTCCAGAGATAAGCAATAGACTGTTTATATTTCAGAGGACTATTTACTTTCCATAATACAAAACTGATAAAAATTTCAATACCTCATCGGATTCTCTGGTGTTCATAGATCAAAAAGATGTGACTTGAGTTTTTTAATTGCTATCCCGTAAGTTTATATAGTGGTCCCTCGGTTAACGAACGCCTCGGTTAACGAAATTTCGGTTAACGAACTGCCTCCCATAAGATTCTTAAATTCGGTTAACGAACAAAAATTCGGTTAACGAATTTCTTACGAACCGACCTTAACATGTTTTCGCTTGCACTGGCCGGTCAACCAGCTTTAGTATTAGTCCGCCAATACATTAATCGGTTCTAGGGCTTAAATTCCTTACTATTTTAGTAAATATCAAGAAGTTTATACTATTCAATAATTTTAAAAGTTTAATATTCAATTTTTTAGTCATTTTAACAATTATTGAACATAATTGAAGGTAAAGTGGCTAGTTTAATGCGCGGCATCCAGCCTCTTAACACAGCAAACAGGCGTTAGTCTCTCTCTGTTTTCACTGGAGGTAACATCTTGCTTGAGATTCTCTTCAACTAAACGCTTTTTTTCTGTGTTTCCAAGCAAATTATTGGTCATTATGAAATATATTTTACATATTGACAATATATAATGCAGTGCAGTGTTGATTTAAAGAAAATAATCTTGAAATACACCAAGAGAACTAAAATTTTATGGGTGAAATAGTGCCATGGGGTGACTTCTCTTCCACCCCAATGCCTTCTCTTCTCCTCCACCCCCATTCTAATTCCCACCATCATCATCATCATCCAGGAGCCTTCTACATACACACCTCAAAGTAAGTGAACTTTTCTACCATTTTTGTTGAATTTAGGCAATTTTCGGTGAGCTGGAACCAATTACCCAAAAACCCATTGAAACAATGGTTTCGGTTAACGAATTTTTTGGTTAATGAGCAACCTGCTGGATATATATTATACATAGATATATATATATATATATATATATATATATATATATATATATATATATATATATATATATATATACAGTAATACCTCGCTTAACACGGTTTCGCTTAGCGCGGTGCCTCGCCAGAGCCAAACTTTCACTTAGCCGGTTTTTTCCATGTATACACGCAGAGTGTCTGGCTCGAGACGCTATTTTTAGATTCGCCCCACCCTGCCTGACTGCCTGCCTGCCTGTTTTAGCTCATAAAATTCATACAAATTACCCCGCCAGAATATAATTTACATTGCTGGAATTCTTACAATATGATGATCATTTTGCATATAAACATCATAGATTTTGCATTAGACATACAAATTTTAGATATAATGTTTACTCTGAGTAAATATGTTATCTTTTGTGCAAAATATATGACATTTATATTCAAAATATTCCTGGTCTTACAAGGAATCCAGCAATGTCAATTATATTATCCTAACTTTAGATTGAGGTATTATTTATTACTAAAAAGGTAAATATTCTGGTTTTCCCACACATCTGGTAGGGAGGGGAGGTGGGGGGAGGGAGGGACCGACCGACCATCTGTTACCGTGTGAAGAATATTGTTTTTTTTTTATTAACTGAAGATATTTGTTTTAGCTCATAAAATTCATACAAATTACCTGGTCAGAATATAATTTACATTGCTGGAATTCTTACAATTTGATGATCATTTTGAATATAAACATCATAAATTTTGCATTAGACATACAAATTTTAGATATAATGTTTACTCTGAGTAAATATGTTATCTTTTGTGCAAAATATATGACATTTATATTCAAAATATTCCTGGTCTTACAAGGAATCCAGCAATGTCAATTATATTATCCTAACTTTAATCTGAGGTATTATTTAATACTAAATGTTAAAATTTAGTTTTTTCACCCAACATCTCTTGAAGGGAGGATTGGTGGGGGGTGGGGGGAGGGTTGGGACAGACCGACCACGCGGTTGGAAGAGGGGGGGAGGCAAGGTGGGGTACTTTGATTGACAGATAGTGTCGTAAAGAATATTTTTTTTTATTAACTGAAGATATTTGTTTTAGCTCATAAAATTCATACAAATTACCCGGCCAGAATATAATTTACATTGCTGGAATTCTTACAATTTGATGATCATTTTGAATATAAACATCATAGATTTTGCATTAGACATACAAATTTTAGATATAATGTTTTACTCTGAGTAAATATGTTATCTTTTGTGCAAAATATATGACATTTATATTCAAAATATTCCTGGTCTTACAAGGAATCCAGCAATGTCAATTATATTATCCTAACTTTAGTTTGAGGTATTATTTATTACTAAAAAGGTAAATATTCTGGTTTTCCCACACATCTGGTAGGGAGGGACCGACTGACAATCTGTTACCATGTGAAGAATATTTTTTTTTTTTATTAACTGAAGATATTTGTTTTAGCTCATAAAATTCATACAAATTACCCGGCCAGAATATAATTTACATTGCTGGAATTCTTATAATTTGATGATCATTTTGAATATAAACATCATAGATTTTGCATTAGACATACAAATTTTAGATGTAATGTTTACTCTGAGTAAATATGTTATCTTTTGTGCAAAATATATGACATTTATATTCAAAATATTCCTGGTCTTACAAGGAATCCAGCAATGTCAATTATATTATCCTAACTTTAATCTGAGGTATTATTTAATACTAAATGTTAAAATTTAGTTTTTTCACCCAACATCTCTTGAAGGGAGGATTGGTGGGGGGTGGGGGGGAGGGTTGGGACGGACCGCGCGGTTGGAAGAGGGGGGGAGGCAAGGTGGGGTACTTTGATTGACAGATAGTGTTGTGAAGAATATTTTTTTTTTATTAACTGAAGATATTTGTTTTAGCTCATAAAATTCATACAAATTACCCGGCCAGAATATAATTTACATTGCTGGAATTCTTACAATTTGGTGATCATTTTGAATATAAACATCATAGATTTTGCATTAGACATACAAATTTTAGATATAATGTTTACTCTGAGTAAATATGTTATCTTTTGTGCAAAATATATGATATTTATGTTCAAAATATTCCTGGTCTTACAAGGAATCCAGCAATGTCAATTGTATTATCCTAACTTTAGATTGAAGTATTATTTATTAAAATTTAGTGGTTTTCCCCCCAAAATTTCTCAGAGGGAAGAGCCAGTGAGTGTAGTGTGAGAAGAGGGTGAGGGAGTGGAGTCCATTATTTGAATGGACATTAACTTGGGACTGTGTTTCTCTATTTCTCTTAAGTATTAATTGTGTGCATGTACCATCATAAAATTAAGATGTTATCTTTACTAGAACATAGGTATTGTGTCAGAAAAAGTGGAGTTTGGGGGTCGGGCCAGTTTCTATTGGAATTAATCCCAAATGTTCTGTTGTTCACTTAGCGTGGTTTTCACTTAAAACGGTACCCTGTGGGTTTTATATATATATATATATATATATATATATATATATATATATATATATATATATATTATATATATATATATATATATAATATATATATATAATATATATATATAATATATATATATATATATATATAATATATATATATAACATATATATATGTATATATATGTATATATATATATATATATATATATTATATATATATTATATATATAATATATATATAATATATATAATATATATATATATATATATATATATATATATATATATATATATATATATATATATACTGATATACAGGAAAAAGATTAAGTGCTCGTGTAATTCTTCTTCAGGGTGAGTACAGACTTAGTCTGTCTCACTGGCGATCACGTGACCTATAGTGATTTACTTGTGTGTATATATATATATATATATATATATATATATATTGATAAAATCACACAGGGAAAGGGAAACAACGGAGCACCTTAGCTTTCGTCTTTATTCAAGACATCTTCAGAGGCAACTGGATTACATTAAGAACATAAGAAAATAAGGAGTCTGCAATAGGCCGGTTGGCCTGTGCATGGCAGCTCCTGTCGAGAGTTACTACCACTCTCTATCATCCATGAACCTATCCAGCCTCCTTTTGAAACTTTCAGCGTTCCAGCACTTACTACAAAGTTGCTAAGCTTGTTCCACTTGTCCACCACCCTATTTGTGAACCAGTTCCTTCCTATCTCCCTCCTAAACTAAAACTTATCCAACTTAAATCCGTTGCTCCAAGTCCTACCCTGCTCGGATATTATAAGAACTTTATCTATATCCCCTTTATTGATTCCTTTCACCCACTTAAATACTTCTATCATATCTCCCCGCACTCTTCGTCTTTCTAGGGAATGCAAATTTAGTTTCTTTAACCTATCCTGAAATGGA